AGATATCGCTGTCTCATAAATAATTCTTGATTTTCTACTGTTTCCTATTCGTTCCAAATTAAAAAAATTGTGCTAATTTTCAAGAGTTCTTTTCATTCTGTTAAGAGTTGACAATCGGATTGTCTTTATGATTCGAAATAAATGATATGTTGATTATTCGCTTTATCAGAGAGACGTGTATTGTAACTCCGGGAATAAGTCACGTCTTTTTCAATCTGTGTTTCTCGTTTCTATATTGATAAAAACTGCCAGGGGGGAACAACACTTTTATCGTCGAATCTGTTTCGACAAGCGATTAATGTTGAATGGGTTTTAATCTCCTGCTGCGAACGAAGCACGAGGAAGCACTTAATGGGAATATTCTGTTCCATCACTTTTACGAAATTAAACGTGACATAATCCTAAGATGATTATCACATTCGGATAATTATTATTATCCCGGAGAATGATTATTTTATACTTTTCGTTTTGTTTCGTTCAAACCAGACGAATTATGGGAAACTAGAATTCAAATTCGTTCTTATCTACGACTATGCGACATACTTTCAAGGTTTTGTTTCACCAAGCATTAAAACACTAAACAATTTTCCTAAGTTTATTACACGCCGTTACGTAATACGATAATTATCGAACTTGCGAAAGGAATTTATCTTTTCACATAAATGTCCATTACATATGGACATAAATGTCTCCTTGAAAAAAATATCAAATATCAAAGAAATTGTAAGAAAATACATTGTTCTGTTTGGGTTCAATGATTTCATTTAAATTAAAATATGAATCATGCAGGAAGTATTGAAATCGATGGAAATATGAAACCTGTTTCCAATGAGTTTTCTCTCGGCGTCTAAAAGCCTTGAGTCTGCAACTCTTTTCGTTCCGGGTATTATATATGCACATGTATCCTTGCAATGCACGTTCCGCATCTTACATTCCTCGCTATATTTAATCGAGATAAGAAACGAATAATCATCGGACGCATAATTCGTATTATCGATCGGCACCCATTGTTGCTTAACTTGAAATTCGCATCGATAAACTTCTGCAAGAATTCATGAATCATTGACCATTAGTTTGTTCAATCGATAACGTTTGTTACACAGTCGTCACTCATATTCCACGATATTCCATTTTATCAATTCCCATGATTTCTACCTAAACGCTTCCCGGAAAATCGGTTTTCACACGATCTAATCGTCGACTCATCCATATTTACATTTAATTAACTCGAATTAGCCAGCAGGTTTGAACAGCTGGATGCAATTCTAGGAATTGAATTTAAAATAAACTAGCATGTAATCAAAATTTTTATGCAATTATTTAAGCATCCATTGATCGTTTTGTAGAAAAGAAATAATAACTGGCCTTGGATTGCGTGATTGTTTCCTTTTCAAAATTACCGAGATTAATTGCAGTTTACGAATCGACGTGACTAAAAATACATTTATCTCTGATCTACCGTCCACTTATATGTAGACGAGATGCAAAAAGAAGAAAAATTTATCTGTCATTTTTAATTGAGTATAATCGTCGTTTCAAATGGCAGGAGGAGAAAAGCGTGTCGAGCACGTGCTCGGAAGAGATTCTGCGCGTCTTCCGCGGATCAGTATTTCCTTGATCCCTGCTATCAGCAATCGTTCTTTATCAGTCAATGAAGCTGTTGTAAACGGGATTTAACGATAACGACGGGTCGTAAATTACAACCAGCATTGTCTGCGAAAAAGAAAAATTGACATTCTCAGTATAGATAATGACACACGACTAAGCACATAAAGGATATGACTCAAAAACTAATACAATTTCGTGGATATTCAAATTTTGCATCCCAGCCGGGTTAAAGATTTATGCTCGCTTTTTATTAGTAGTTAAATGGTTGTTGACTTGAATGGTCATTTAAGCAATCAGGGCGCGTGGGAGTAGGAAGCCGGCGAGTGTGCGGCATGGTGAAACATAGTCGCTATAGTCCTCTGAATTACAGATTGTTCGTGCAATTACATGAATTCCTGAGTAGTTTTATTGCAACTTATCTTTGCATAAGCAATGATGAGCGTGCGGTGATTTACCGCACGGTAGTTTAGCACTAAATTATTATTCTTCACTATTATTTGCCGTACCTCAGCTAGGATCATCGTTATGTTAGTCGATAGTAATCTAAGATAAAGAATGCATTATTATGCAGTTGGAACGTCGATGTCTGCGTTCGTACACGGTCCTTCAAAATACATGATGCTATGTACTTTCACTTATTGAAAGTTACGTCACACGTGTTTCTTTGAACACGTTCATTAATGCAATATCGAATGGTCATTTGAGAATGTATTGGCTATACAGTCAATCCCAAAAGTTTATGCACTTTAGAAACGCATTTTTT